CCAGTCCATGGTATATTCAACACTCTTCTCCAGCACCACAGCTCAAAGGCATCAATTCGCCTTCTATCATCCCTAGTCACTGTCCAGCTCTCTGATGTATAACTCTCAATTGCAAAGACTATGGCCTGGATCAGGCACACCTTAGTCACCAGTCTGACATTGCTGCTCTTCAGTACTCTGGAGAGGTTCCTGACAGCTGACTTTTCAAAAGGAATTCATCTCTTGATTTCCTGGCTGCTGATGCCAAGAGTGTTGACTGTGGCATATGTATGAATTATAAAATTACTGAATTTCTTTCCCTGTTGTTGTTATGTACCATAAAGCCGGAACTGTATCATCGCTGATCCTCCAGTACATTGTCAGAGGCAGTAAGTAACACGAGAGGAGACTGCCCATCTTTTTTTTCCCCCATGGAGCAGTTTTTCAGCACTTTGGAGTGGTCTTTGGCAATTCATTTTCTGATGTGATCAGATGCAACCCATCTGTTGATTTCTTGACTCTTGCTACTATGGGTATTTATTGTGGGTCCAAGTAAAATGAAATAATTGGTAACTTCAACCTTCTCTCCCTCTATTATAATGGTTTATTGGTCCAGTAGTGAGGAGTTTGGTTGTCTTTACGTTTAATCTTCTGTAGCAAATGTTTCATTCCTTTGACAAAATAATAGATATTTTAAAGATTTTTTTTTCAGATCACAGATAGTCTTTATTGTATATCCTTCTTTTGTTCTAGTAATCTACATGTAACTCACAAACCTCCTAGCTGTCAAGTTGACTTCAACTCCTAGCAAGCTTACAGATCAGTATCTAACTGTCCCATGGGAGATCTGAGATTGTAAATCTTTACAGGAGCAGATTGTTCCATTTTTCTCCTGAGAAGTGTCTGGTGGGTGTGAGCTCCTGACTTAAGTTTAGTAGCTCGACATTTAACCTAAAAGGACTACCAAGGCTGCTTATTGAAATGTTGTGAATCCTTACTTAGAAATGTCAATGCTGTTTATTTTCAGCTCGAGAAGCACATGTGAACAGGTGTTGGAATTCATTTGATCCAGTCTGTAATTTGCTAAGCTTGCTCTATTGTGCCATTGTGTTTTGTTGCTGTGGTTAAGTGCCATCCAGTCAAGCACCACCCACAGCAAGCCCATGAACAAAAGATCTGAACCTTGCCCCATCCTGCACCATTCTGATTACTCATTACCTGCACCATACTTGAGCCCAATGTTACAGTCATTGTGTCGATTCATCTCATTGAGGGTCTTCTCTTTCATTTATCTTTCACTTTTCCAAACATGGTGTTCTGTTTTCAGGATTAGCACTTTCTGATAACATGTCCAAAATGTGTAAGATCACTAATTTTCTTTTGTGTTTTATTCTTACGTCGTTATTTTATTTTTTCTACTACTTTCTTGAATTCTATCAAATTATATTTTAACATCTCTTTCTAAATTCTTGAATTTCTGCTGTCAGTCTTTCTTCATAAAAAAGATATTTTTTCAGAGATTGATTTTTAATTTATATAGAAATACACATATTATCATTTCCTTGTGATCTGTAGAAAGAATTTTC